ATNAAATTCCCTACTATTAACGTTGAAAAGGTTGCATAATCGAAGCGCTTCGAGCGAGATGGAACCTTGTCTCAATTGAGGACTAACAACTTTTTCACAATGAATTATTCATGGTCTTGAGACGAGCTTTAGCTCTAGATATGGTCCCGTTAATTTGATATAATTTAATCTTTTACGTCGGACAAATGAGCGCTTTTGGACGATAGAAAGATATCTTTTATTCTTTAGAGATGGTTATGTATCAGAGGCTTCACTTAATTTTGAACTTGAGACTGCTGCTGTACTTCAGGAACCACTGCCACTGCTATCTGCCAGATTTCAGGATATCTAATATTAGGTCGTACACTAGTAGCATAAAGTTTTCTATTAATACCTGCCTTATTATGCATAAAAAATGTGCTATAGGCCATTATTACTACATTATAATAAGGCTTTTTTCTTAGTAGTGACAGCCAATTCACAATCTTAGTAAGTCACAATTTTTACTGTGAACAGTTTGTCTTGTCTTGTACTCAGAAGTCTTTGGGTTAAGACAGTGTTCTTCACAATAATTATAGATGTGGTTGTGTAATTAATTACTTCCAAGAACTTTGCTAACGAGGCGGGTTGGAGTTAAGCATTGGAACGAAAGAACGTGTGCTTGCGCTGGTACTTAGACTGATTTGATTTGTAATAGTAACTGTAGACTCAAGGGTTCAAACTAAGTCCGATGTTTTACATTTGACAGTTTCAGTACGTTTTAATACCGAAACCTCATAATTAGTTACTCTGATCGCAGGTCAACACATATAATTTACTTATCATTTGTGCTTTCATATTTTTCTGCAAGCTTTAGGCAACTCTCTAACTCCATTTCTGAATTTTCAGATCCAGTTTTTTTAAGGGACGCGTGCTGGTACCTTGAAGAGCTTTTCCAGCTTCACCGGGCAGAGTGGCGAGTACAGAAGGTACTTTAGCCGTTTGGCGATCGTCATCAGAGATCAGTGGCGAACCCAACTAGAAGGTTGCCCATCGCGGTGTTGGACCAAAGTCCAGCCTACGGCGGGCTCACTCTAGTGGGCCCGATCGAGGGGACTACGGACGCGGCCTGATGGCGCCAACGGTAGGCTCGGACCTCGGCTCAGGCCGTGTCCGGGGGACGGGTTTGGGTTCAGATCCAGCTGCCACTGTCTCATAAACAAGAGGGATCAATGGGGTTACTCCCCCCACAACATCCGATGATTTGAAAGTTTCCATCACTCTCGCGCAAAGCGAGATGGCAATAAGAGCGACAGTAACAGATAGACCCGTACCGAAGCTCCGTAAAATCCATCAGATCCTGACGCTAGCGCTAACCCTACTAATTAACTAACTAAGCTAACGCATTAGAAAAAGACACGTGCAAAACAACATTTTAACTTAATTACCATCTGCAACAACTTCTAATGTCATCATTAGCAGTGTTTCTACCAAGTCATTAATATTAAATGGCGCCGGCAACCCTAGTCAATTTAGCAACAATATTAGTAAACAGCTGTCATTTGTTATGGTACTAAGGTTGTGGTGTCACCATGTCGGGGCTAAGTGGCTGAAAACAATAACACAAACACACTCTATTATCAACCTTAAAGTTCTATCTAACTAAGATCCAAAATTGATGAACATAATCCTTGTCACTAAATAGTGGAATTTATTATGTGCTAAGGGTTAAAGAAGCTAGGGTTGTCACACCAATAAGGAAGACAGACATAATGGCCCATAAAAATGATTTAGCCTTGTACACTTAGTCATTAAAATAAGCTATTTTAGGTAATTTCATTATTTATAATTACGTTTTCCCACGAGGGATGGCCGTAGAGGCGATTATGTTAGCGTGGCGTATGCACTTAAGTGACTATTTTGACAATTAATGGGTAATTAGTTGATAACGTATGTTCTTGAGGTAGATGAGTGACGTTACGACATGCTATACTTAGTTTAGTATGTAGAAATATAGTTTTATGGCAAATCTCTATGGCCCCCCCTATAACATTATACTGTCATGACAGTCAATTAAATTACGAGTAGAATTTAATTATGCTCCTTTTCTTGAGTCAATCTCACTTAAGAAGATGATTCTTTTTGAATCAGTCTGAATCGAGTTTCAAGCACACAATTTTTTTCCTCTGTAACTTTAGACAATAAAAAATAATAATTTTGTTTACGGATCTAAATGTATTCATTGTTAATTTTGAAACCATTACAATATTTACTTGACTTCGTAGTACTATGAATGCTACCACAAACATTTAAGAGTATCATTAAACTAAACAGTTAATAAACTACAAAGTATAAAAGAAATACACATAACTGACGGTCTAATATCACATTATTCCATAAAAAATAATGTCATTGCAAATTACATACATTAGACATAAACGCGCGACGATTCTCAAGATATTATTAACAATTACTCTTGTAACATTTAAGTAATTATATTGTTTATTAATAATGACGCTTTTTAGGGATTATTATGTGTTGATGCAATTGCAACAGTGTGTAATTTTGTTAATTATATTATTTTTGCTAAAATAATTAACGGTGACTCATCAATGTTTGTCTACAAGTAACGTTGTTGTAGATATTGTCTCTTTGCTATAAAAAATGAACGTACCCATAGAAATGTGAGTTACCAATAATTTAGGCTGCATCTTTTCAGGTTTCAGTATTCGATAAATTATTAAAGATGATTAATATTTAATTAATTATTCTGTTAACGGTTGTGATCATTGTTTGCACCTACATTTTATTCCAAGGCACATTTTGATTTTAAAAAAATATACCATGTAGTCAAACTACTTTTATGAACGCTATAAGGTTTTACGTCAATTTATAGGGTAATAACATCACTGTTGTAAAAACTACTACTAGTTGTACGTAGAGTTGATTGATTTTATATGAATTTTGTTTATGTTTTTTACCTTGTTGCTGTGTCGTTTTATTTTTTAATTTGAGTGAAGGCCGCGGCCTTGTTGCGTCATCGTGTGACGTAACTGCTTACATCATTATTTGCACGGCATCTTACACTTGCTGTAATGTTTCAATGATTGGTAAATACAAATAGCATTAACAAAACTACTTATGACACTTTTTATAAGCTTTGGAGGATCTTTTGACTATTCATACAATTATTTTTCTCTAGCAGTGCACCATCTTACTTTAACTTTAACAAACGTCAAAAATCTGTCAAACTCTATACAAAAAGCAACGGTTATCGTTATAGTTACAGTTAAAACAAACAATATCAAGAAAAAAGGGAAAAACAGTGAAAGAGAAGTCTATTGTCGCAGATTCGATGATAATTAAACTTTTTTCGATCGGTGATTATGCTCAAAATGTTTTGTTACCAATGTCCGTCATCCCTGCACAAACTTATTCGCATTTTCAACACAGGGTCATACAACAGTTTCCTCTTAAGTTATTTACTTATGTTATGTATTTACCAAGCAGCGTGGTCAGAGCATAAGAGACCCTCCTCCTAAGTGCATAATAAAGGTACCTGTGCAAACATAATAATATTAAAGCCACAAGAACATTTCAGATTAACCGCCTCTGTGGTCTAGTGGTAAGACCACCTTCTTCAGACGCAGAGGTCCCGGGTTCGATTCCCAGTGGGGGCAGATTTTTCTGTTCGGTTTGGTTGGTGGTAGGGCTTGTTCTAAGTCCGCCTGGCTAGCTACCACCATCTTACCTAAGTCTGTCGCCATAACAACAATGTTCACAGCATTATTGTGTTCCGGCAGTAAGAGGTAAGATAGCCAGTTCCTCCGTGGTTGAGGATTCCGGGTGAAGCTCGCTTCCACCTTCGGCCTGATCGTCACTTACCATCAGGTGAGATACAGGCCAAGAGCTTCCTCGTTGTGGTTAAAAAAAAAAAAATGATTTAATTTTCTTAAAAAGTAGACTTTGGTTNTGAAGCGCGCTTCCACCTTCGGCCTGATCGTCACTTACCATCAGGGGAGATACAGGCCAAGAGCTTCCTCGTTGTGGTTAAAAAAAAAAAAAAAAAAAAAAGATGCTATAAAAACCCTTAGCTAGTTAGTTCATGTGTCTCCCATAATACGGAAAAACAAGAAACGGTCACCCGATTTAGATTTATGTGGCCATTAATGTAAAATAACATTTATAACCACGATAGCCGAACGGTGAAGGGGTCGGTGTGGCCGACTCGAGATACGAGGAACGCGGGTTCGAATCCCACCGCCGCTCGACTATTGTGGTGAGCCCACTCGTAACACAAGCTTATTTAGCTTACCACGAGGGGCTAATGGGACTATTAGTAATTTGGGCAATACAAATTGGTAATAATCTTTTAAAAAAAAAAAAAAATTACGACAACTCTACAAGAATGGCTAGTAAAACTTCGAATGTAAATAAAAATATTAGCAATCAGTCTGGTCCGACTAGGTTTATAGTTCTAAGATGATAATTATTCAAACCTTCATAGTTTTATGACACGGCTATGATAACTACAAATATAAATGTGTGTTTAATTACTTAACGCATTAAGCAAGTTTTGATTCTCATACCTCTGTGATTAATAATTTCACAAGTGTATAAAAAGGTATAAACAATTACAAATTTGATCATACACTTTACTTGTAGTCTGCCCTTTTATTTAGATCCATCAGGAAATGTTTAATCCCATTAAAAGGATAAACAGAATATTTGTTTATTTTAACAGTGGTATACGACCTTTTTGAAAACATTGAGTGGTTTACGACAAAAAAAAAGAAAACAGAGTAAAATAATGATAAAGGTAATAATCGAAATAACCGAAAATATATCCTGAAGTACGATACGGTCGACATTTGTCGAGCATGCCACCGTTCCGGAGAGTCACTCTGGCATATAATTTCTGGTTGTTCGCATTGCTAACGGTGAGTATTTGCACAGGTATAACCTAGTAGCCAGAATCATCCATCAGCAACTTGCTCTTCAGTACGGCCTTCTTGAATCTGAGACGCCTTATTAGTTATTACCGATACCAGCCGGTGCCAGTTCTCGAAAATGGTCATGCATTGCTCTATTGGGACCGTTCTATCATCACAGACAGGACTATTGTCTGTAATAAGCCTGATATTGTGGTGGTTGACCGATCCCAACGTCGGGCAGTGCTTGTTGACATCACCATCCCGCATGACGAAAACCTCGTGAAGGCCGAGAAGGAAAAGCAAAACAAATATCTTGACTTGGCCCACGAGGTGACCGCCATGTGGGATGTTGACTCGACGATCATTGTCCCGATAGTTGTCTCGGCAAACGGGCTAATAGCGAAGAGCTTCGACCAACATCTGAAGAAGCTCTCGCTGGATGGTTGGCTCAAGGGTCAGATGCAAAAGGCGGTGATCCTCAGCACGGCACGCATTGTCCGGAGGTTCCTCAGCCTGTGACCCTGACCACCGGTAGCTTGGGTCCTGCTCCGCTGCCGGCGGATAATCTAGTTTTAAGATTTTTTTATAATGTATTTTTACTTTTTTTTTATAATTTACATTGTAAGAAAACTAAGAAAGAAATAATATGAATAAAGGTAATAAAACAGAAATAATAATAGTACAATATAGTATGTACTGCAATCCTTTAATTACTCTATTTTCCGACTTGTAATTGTAGAAAATTATACTGTAACAAAAATTTTACGACTGGTACTCGCAGATTATTGGTTCAAATTGTGTTATTAGAAAATGTATTTCCGTTTGTGCTAAAACTAAAATAATCAGTTAGATTTAGATTAAAATGGTTGTATTGAGCACAAGATAATTGCGACTAGTGATGTGATGTGTATCATATTAATCGATAAATCTCTAAGTAGGTACACACCATTAAAAACTTGTTCATTTTTAAGCAGAAAACTACTCAAGTATGTAGGTAGATATTTCTGTAATTCTAGAATATTTCTGCAAGTATTAATTTTAATGAAATTCAGCCAATCAGTCTTACATCGAGGGTTTAAAACTTTCACAAAGTGTGTTACAAAAAATAACGCGTCGTGTCCATGTTCCCAATTTGACTAGGACGTTGTTTTAGGCTTGTATCAGAATGTCTTATGGCATGGCTTATAAGTTCGCCTTATGTATTAATTAATGTGGCGTTTAAGACTAAATAAATAAATCAGTCTGATGTTTCAAATCTTAAATTCTGTGTTTAGGAGCGGACATATTTTGACACTTTGGCCCGTCCAACTGAGCTATTTAAGGCACTTTTGAGCTTCAGTAGTTGGTACAACCCACATGATGGTAGGAAAATTTAATTTTAAACGATTTAGAATATACGTCCAACTGTCAAAACTATCGACAGTTCTATCTAGAACATAGTGCTGGAACCTTGCAGAGGACGGCAGGGCACGGGGCGAGCCTTGACACTGCCTAATGACTGTTCACAATCTAATTCTATGCATTATGCCCAGTACCTTTCAATTTTAGACCTTATTACTTATGAATAAACACGTGACATAAAACATTACACCCTGGCAACTATAATGAATCTAGAGCTTGCAATTTTAGACCTTACTCACTAGGAATAAGCGCGTAGTTTTCGACTGCGTGTGCGCTTGATAATCACTTAGCAATTTGCTTACAGTCGGGATCATATGCAATTATATGAAATTGGTCTGGCGCTGATTGTTTTTCTGTTTATAGCCGAGTGTAGAAAGGAGGGTAAAGCTATAAGTGTGTTCGTTCGTTCGTTTCAGCCGAAAGACGGAGGTGCCTGGATGCGAGCGGCGCAGGAGCAGGACCGGTCTTTGTGCAAATCCTTGGGCCTTGAGGCCTTTGTCCAGCAGTGGACGTGTGTACTAGTATAAATATTTATGTATTCCTTATTGTCGTAAACGACTTGATGGGTTTTAAGTCAAAAACATTTCTTTTTCATCTACTTATTTGAAAATCTTTTGCAACTTGATTAAAAATTTGGATAGGCATTACTGGAGACCGACTAACATTATTAGACACCTAACACAGTCATACCTCTTAACTTACGAAAGGTACATGTTATTTTTTTATAAACATTTCATTCATTTGTTACGGGGTAACATCTGAAAGTAAAAAGATAATATGAGTTTTGTTAGTAGGTACAATACGTTTAGTATACGTAGAAATGAATAAAAATAGATGTATCTGGTACATTACAACTGTTTCCAAGGTTACATTCAAATTCATTGTACAAATACGGTTTTGTTTATCAGGTAAACAGCACAACTTAGTATTTAAAAATACCTGAATTAGATACCCACAAAAAAGAGGTGTCGGTCGAAAAACTACTTGCTTCTTGCAACATTTAATTTGCGTTTATTTATTCCTATATTATTAAGATCATGAGTGTTTTTATCTATATGTATTATGTAATGTATTTATAAAAAAAAGTATTTAAGTAGGTATGTTTATATCAGTTGTCTAGTACCCATAGTACAAGATTTGCTTAGTTTGGGACTAGTAGAGGCGTAGTGTGTTGTAAATTGTAATGTCCAAGTATATTTTGATATAATTAGTACAAAAGTTAATAACCGTTTAATACTTTAGACGCCCATGATTTCCATGTTGAATCAAACTCAAAATACAATACAAAAATAAAAGAAAGATACTAAAAGTAGCAAGCATGTTACTAACTAAACCTATAACGCTATTACATTTGAAAGATAAAATGTATATAGATAAGAGTATTACGATGTGATACTATGTTAGGTAGATAACATAAACAATATCATAGTATTTTCTTAATGTAAGGAAATTATAGTACCTAGTTCCAATCTATCTATCTACTGCATAAGGCTATTATTAGCGTTGTTGCTACAATAAAAAGTTTTATTGTAGTAGTGGAATACAATGTAGAGTAGAGACGGTTAGACTGCCTACAATGTGTTTTATTTTAGAGATGTTACAACTTCCTTATGTTCCTTAATGATAGATCGCCCGGAGTCCTGCCAGCAGGACTTAAAGTACTTCCGGTAGGACGCAAAATTAAAAGATCACAGTTTCGTAAGTATACATTGTACAAATTTCAAATTTACACGAAAAAATAGAGTGTTTCTCTCTCTTTCACCCAATAGTGCCCAAGATCGAAAAACGCGACTAACCGTTAGTCGGAGCCCGATGGCGCACGAGTATACACGGGGGCAGCGCGTTCGCGCTCGCGCGACACATTTTGACGCGCCGGGCGTGGAGTCGGCAACATTTTGGCGATAATATTATAATGAATGTGAAGTATTCCAGCCTAATCAAACATTTATAATTTATTTCTTGTTTTTGTTTTTAATTTGTTGTGTATTTGTAAGTGATAGGTGTAATTTCTAATACAAAGTGACGTACCAAAGTAATTAATTTAAAGTTCCTTATTATAGTTCCTATTAGTTAAGTTGAAAGAAGATAAACAAGTTTATAATATATTAAGAAAAGTAAAATACTGGTTAAACAAAATGATTCTACGACATGACTTTTTATTTAATAAACACTAACCAAGTGTTTACTACTTCTGGTGAGGATGAGTTCAAATTTGAAGGTCACCGTACTGCTGGAAGGACCAGCAAGCAAACACGTACAAATTGCGTACTGCGGGCAGGACTTGCGATAATCTTCTGGCAGGACGTTTAGAACAAAAGACCAGTCCTTCCAGAAGAGCTTCCAGCAGGACAAAGCACCGGGCGATCTATCATTAAAGATATTCTAATTATTTGGTCCAATTTTTTTAATTTATTTTGGTCTGAAATTGTTTTAGGCAGGTATTATACGCCATTGTTGTATTTTATCTACGTTTTAGCACATAATATAATCGTATTATTCATTTAAAACCTACGTCATTATTCTTTCAGTCCCTTTTCCCACATTATAAGGCTGAGTTGCACCATCTTACTTTAACTTTGACAAACGTCAAAAATCTGTCAAACTCCATACAAAAAGCACAGATTATTGTTCGGTTACAATAAGGTGGGTGCAACATAGCCTGAAATACGAAAATAATTTCTATTACATATCCAAAATTCAAGATTTCATTTGCCAGTTTCTATGGTTTGTCATGTTTAAATTAAAAGCTTTAAAGTAGCTTTACATTTTAACCGACTTAAAAAAAGAGGAGGATCTCAATTTTTTAGTCTTTTATTTCGTACTATAACATCCGTATTCACATCCGTCCTTGAACAGTGAACACCACAAATATTTTTATTGCAATTTGTCATCTATTACAAGAGTATAAGACTCTACAACTTGATGTGCCACATGGTCACCTCCTTGTAGTGTTAATTACGAACCAGACTTTTGACACTTCTATTATTTTGTAGTACTACTACTAATAGATATTGCAGTTTTAATAAACACCTCTAGACATGTTAATTGACAGTAATTCGTGTTACATAATATGTACATTATGTATTTAAAAAAGTATATAAGTACCTACCTAGTATATCCGTTAAGCTAGCACCCATAACACTAGCATATATAAGTAAATTGTTTACTTTGGCGCTGTGTGAAATTGTGCAAAGATTTATTTATTTCTTATTATTATTGTTCAAACCATCGATCAAGAATGTAAATCTCCTACGCCAAAAGAAACTGCAAATTTTCCTCCTACTATTTGTTTATTAAATGCGAAAGTATGTATGTGTAGTGTATAGACATTTGTCTCGAGCGCATACGTCACAGCCCAGTCAGCGGTGGGGGCATTCGGCGTCCGACCGTGGTGCGGGCAGGTCGTGCTGTGTGCGTAGGCGAGCCAAATAATGGTCTAATGGCGGAGATAAAGGTGTACAATACAGTATGGATGTATGTTTGTTATTCTTTCATGCAAAAAGTACTGAACGGATTTTCATGAAGCTTTACAGTTATTGATTTTATACATCACAATAACATTAAAGGCTATTTTATAACGATATGTGACAAACTGAATTTCACGCGGGCGAAGCCGGGAGCAAAAGCTAGTTAAAATTAGTCTGAGTGATAAAAAAATATCCAAAAGAGATTGAACGGTTTCCGTTTTCGTCCAATTTCGACTGAAAAAGTTCAAGACCTCTTCAAAAATACCATTTGGGCGATTCACAAGTTCACACTGTGCCTGTGGTGCGAATGCTTAAATACCTGTATTCACAAGTAAATCAGAAAGAACTCACAGCGTTGAATAAAGCTCTGTGATTGGTTCGTGTGTCACCCTGTGCGTC